AGCAGAGAGCAAGACAGACGAGTTCAGACAACAAGAGGAAACACTTTGGCTAGAAAAGTAAAAATGAGGGACTTCCCTGGTGGTCCAGTGGCTAAGACTCCGTGCTCCCAATGCAGGGGGCCCGGGTTCCATCCCTGGTCGGGGAACTAAGATCCCACATGCCGCAACTAAAGATCCCGCATGCTGCAACTAAGATGTGGTGCAGCCAAATAAATAAGTAAATATTTTTTAAAAAATCACAAACAGGGCTTCGCTGGTGGCGCAGTGGTTAACAATCCGCCTGCCAATGCAGGGGACACAAGGCAGGGTTCGATCCCTGGTCCGGGAAGATCCCACATGCGGCAGAACAACTAAGCCCTGTGCACTACAACTACAGAGCCTGTGCTCTAGAGCCCGTGAGCCACAACTACTGAGCCCGCGTGCTGCAACTACTGAAGCCCACGTGCCTAGAGCCCGTGCTCCACAACAAGAAAAGCCACCGCAGTAAGAAGCCCGCGCACCTCAACAAAGGGTAGCCCCCACTCGTGGCAACTAGAGAAACACTGTGCGCAGGAACAAAGACCCAACACAGCCAAAAATAAATAAATAAATTTATGTTAAAAAAAAAAAACACAAACAGAGAGGTCATTTGAAATTGGTAAATCCAAATTCCAGGTGTCTTTGGATCCAGGAGCTTCTGACTAAGTGATGTAAACCGAAAGGCTAAGCAAAGGGGCCCTAGACATGCCATGAGACATGGAAGAGGGAAGAGTGTCTGGTGGATAGTTCATTCAACTCTGCAGGTGTTTCTGTAAGGTTGCTGTGGATGATATAATGGAACTAAAACTCTCAGCCCCTCCTTTGGAGAAGATCAAAATGCCACCTTGTTGGTGTGTGCCAGACAAGGAAGACAGGGAGGCACAGATCCAGAGAGCTGTGGAATTCCAGAGATGGGAAGACAGGTAAAGAACCTGGTCTGGTGCAACAAAGTTAAGGCTGGAGCCAAAAGTGAGACGCCTCGAATGCCTTCCTGGAGTTCAGTCTTGATGGGCTACTCTTTGAGGAGACCCTAAAGGACTGGATCAGGGAAAAGACCAGTTGAAAGCTAAGTTTAATCTGGCGGTAGCAATGTAGAATGGAATGTGAGTTGGCACAGGGCAATAGACACAAAAATATAGTAGGGAGGCTGAGCATATCCTTCTCATGGGAGGTGACTGGGGATTGACCATGGGGAAGAAAAAAGGACTGACAGATTCAAGAGCCATTGAAGGAAAAGTCCCAAAGACTTGAGGTCTGGCTAGGTGTGAAGGATTCAAGTTTTTAGGCCGGGGTGACCTGCAGGATATTTCCACTGATGGAGACAAGAAAGCCAAAGGGAGATGAATTGGGGGGAACAAATTGTGAGATTAGTATGAGTCTGGATGAACTTAAGCTAAAACCAAGACATTCAAACGAACATACCCTTCAGGCAGTTAGATTTGAATTTGGAGGCATCAATTTAGGAGACAACAGTTGTTAGAGGGAGCAGCTGATGCCCTGGAAGGGGATGGGCTCTCTGAGGAGGGCCACGGGAGAAAGAAAGACAAAGAGGATCAAGCCTGTATCTTGGGGATTCCTACTCTTTCCATCAGAGTCTTACATGCTCCTCCACCCTCCACCATAATCCCAGTTTGCCAGGCATTCCAACACCACTATTCCTTCCTGCTGCTGAGGGGCTCTATAGTTATTGACCATTTACTCTGAGCAAGTCTTGACATCAAGGCAACCTGTTATTTCATTAAATCCTGAGAACAGCCCATTTTACAGAGGACAAAACTGAGACCCAGAGAGATGAATCAATTCACGGAGTGTGAAGTGAGCACAAGGTTGGCATTAAACCCAGGCCTCCTGACACCCATTCAGTTGGGCACCTACTGTATGCTGAGATCTATGGGGGATATAATGATATTGCGCCCTATCCTCCTGGAGGCTACAACCTGGACAGAGATAAGTAGGCACATAAATATAGATAAATTTAAAGCAGAGCCCCACAGTGCTCCAGGAGAAGTAGAGCTAAGGTCTCCCTATAGTCCAAATGGCTGAAGGCCTCACAGGAAGCTTACCTCGTCACAATACGGGGTAAGTGCTGATCCAAGTTGGGGACCTGGATGACTCGCTATCACATCGACTCTGATCCCACAGGTACTGTGTCCAGGAATTTCCGCCGTCCGGGCAGGGGGCAAAGGCTGTTGTGGTGCAGGCTGCTGTGGGAATCGCTGCAGGGTAAGATGCAAATTAAGACGGCACTCAGCATAGGTCTTTGAATCTGTCTTCTTCGAAGAATCACACCTAAACCCCTCCACAGAATTCCCAGCTTCACGAGCTCCTCGCAGAGTCCTAGGCTCCATCTTACCGCTCCCTCGCACCCGCAAATCTTAGGCTTCATTGGGCCTGACCGGAGGGAACTACAATCCCCATGAACCTCCGCGGCCAGTGGCTCTTAGAATTAGCCGAACTCCAAGCCCTGGAGTTTGACGGGAAATGTATTTTTAACGAGACTGGCTAGAGCTCGGTAACAAAGGAGGGCGGGGAGCTAGGCGCGCTTTGCCCACGAGTGGGGCGGGGACGGCCCAACTCACCTCTCCTCGCACTCTGTATCCAGATGCTGCGATCGGTCTTCTGCTCGGCGTTCGGGATACTTGGTGCCATCTACTGCCTCTCGGTATCAGGAGCCGGGCTCCGAATTGGACCACTATGCTTAATGGACGGCTTCTGGGAATACCACTTCCAACAGACTGCGTAAGGCTCAGCCTGTATTCGCGCCCCCGCCCCATTCTCTAATACTGCCCACCTGCCTTTCCCACGTGGACCGAGAAACCTAGGTGGGATTCGGCTTCGAGACAGCTTCCTCCACGTGGGCCGAACGAGTCCTTTGCATATCCCCCTCGGCGCCTGCGCGGAGCGGGGAGCCCCGAGGGGGGCGCACTCCGCGTGACCTCCTTCTCTCACGTGACCCTGCCCCGCCCGCAGAGGCTCCTACCTGCTCAACCGCACTCAGTGGAGCTCGTGCGTGGAGCCGCCTGGTGTGGTCTACTGGAACGTGACACTCTTCTCGCTGCTGGTGGCCGCCTCGTGCCTGGAGATTTTGCTGTGTGGGGTGCAGCTGGTGAACGCGTCCATTGGTGTCTTCTGCGGCGATTGTCGGAAGAAGGAGGTGGGACTGTGTGGGATGGAGCTGTCGAGGAAATCTATTTGCTCCCTGACTAAGTCCTCACTTTTTTTTCCGCAGGGCGCCCCTCACTGAGGCTCCACGGACCTGGTCCGTCGCTCCTGGACACCCGCCTGGCCCGCCCCCGCCCTGGAATAAACTATTTAGAGCTCTCTTCCGCGTCTCAGATTGTGCCCTTTACAAGGAGTGTCCGAAGGTCTCCATATACACCGTGCCTTGGGGCTCTCGTGTTTGGGACCCTTGCACCCCGCTTGTTATTTCCTTAATAAATAGTTATTGAACTATTAGTGCACTGGAAATACTGTGTGTAGTGGAATAACTGAGGACATGGAAAGGAGAAGTGACCCATGAGCCCCCCCCCCCCGCGCCAGCAAACTGGGGGCTGGCGAATAAGCCAGAACTGCAAACAGTCCTGATTGCTTTGAGCACCCCCCTCCCCCGGGGTCCCCCAGCGCCCCCCCCCCCCGCGCCAGCAAACTGGGGGCTGGCGAATAAGCCAGAACTGCAAACAGTCCTGATTGCTTTGAGCACCCCCCTCCCCCGGCAAACCGGGGGCATGCGAATAATCCAGAACTGTGAACAGTCCTGAATGCTTTGAGCCCACCCCCGCTCCCCGGCAAACCGGGGGCCTGCGAAGAAGCATTGAGTGCTTTGGGCGCTGATCCATGAGAATGTCCTCAGTATAATCAGAATGGTGGGAACACAAGGCAATGTCCTTGTGCTGCTTCAGTATAATCAAAATAATGGTGGGAACTTTGTGCTGCTTTTGCGCTCAAGGACGAAGCACGGCATGTTTTCAAGAAAGCCAATTATTGCTTGTATAATTAATAAAAACATAGGTTGCTGCTTTGGCATTTCTGAAGTGTTAAGAAAACAAGTCTTAAAATGTAAACCTAGATAATGCTTTAATAAAAGCTACCACAGCAGGACAGACGGCGCTGTTTTGCCTGAGCGAGCGGCAGCCCTCTGCTGCTGTGCTTCTGCACAATTCATCTCGTGTGATGTGCTTACTTTCGGCCCTGTCATAAGATAAACTACAACACTGTGTAAACAAGACGGGCAAGTTCTGTGCTCTTAAAGAAGTTAACATTCCAGGGGTAGAAGATGGGCAATTTTTAAAAGAGGCAATAGCTTATTTTAATTGGTGATAAGCACTTTTTAAAAACACGGAGGTAGTGGGATAGATATTGACTGATGGATGGACTTTTTTAATAAGATGAAGTCCAAGAAAGAGAAATTGGAGCTGAAATCTGGTGAATGGGCTAACCATCTGGACAGTTGGGGGATTCCAGGCAGAGATGGCAGCAAGGACGAAGACCCTCAATGGGACTCAGTATACAGAAAAGCCACTGTTTGAGTTTTGGCGCAGGGGGGGAAGGAAAACTATGGAAAAGACATATTAGCCTCCTAAGTTCTAGAAAATGAAATCTTAAGACGATATAGCATTGTCACCTCCTAATTTGGTAGAAATTTCTTGATCTGGGGTCACTGGTGGTTCAGAAAGGAAACAACCTGGTCTCTTAATGGGGACGATGTGTCTGCAGAGGCTCACAGAAAGGCAGGGACTTCCTTAACTTGTACGCAAAACTGTGTTTAAGTGTGTCTTTTCTGAACTATGGGTCGGTAACTTTCAGTAGCTTGCCATGGACTCCTGAAACCAAATCCTAATTGGGCCTGGCCCAATGCTAGGTTAGGAGGAAGATGGGGCTACGCAGTTTCCCACCCCTAAATCAAGGGAGACCAAAACCAAGACAGAGAAGCTTTAATAGCGGAGGTGGGACTAGGCTTGGGCTGGGAGAGGGCGGCGATGGTGTCAACTGCGGCAGCAGAAAAAGCGCGCGTCGTTAAGAGCGGTGTCATCGCGGAGGCCTCTAGGCTGCTATATCTTGGTCTGCAAGCCGCACACTCCTTTAGGGCAAGGCTCACTCCGGTTTCCAAAGTCTCCCCAGGACAGACCGGGCCCCTGCAGCTCCGTGCTGTCGGAGCAGCGGAAGCGCACATTGTTCGCAGCCGTGTTGTCCCCGGGGGTCACGGGTGCCTCCACGCGAAGCGAGAAAGCCACCAGGAAGCCGCCGCCGGGACACCACAGCGGCTCACTCCACGCGCCCCACCTGCGAGGAAAGCAGAGACGCGCGGTCTCCGCGGGCGCCCCCACCCACCTCCAGCCGGACCCAGGCCTCGGGCTTCCCAGTCAGGTGCTCCAGTCACCTAACCTCCACCGAGGTGCGGAGCTGGGAGTCTCCCACCCGCTTCCCAGGTCTAAACCTCCCCACAGCGCTGGAGGAACCTGCCTGTCGGTAGGGGATGCGTGTAATGGAGAGTAAGGGGCATACCCCGACCCTAGGGGATCCTCGGCCCCTGCCCCCCACCTTCCAGACTGGGACTCTACCACGTGCGTGTTGAGCTCCGCATTCCCGCGCACGCAGTGCAGCCGGATTCCGTTCAGAGCTGTGTCGTCGCCAGGACTGCCTTGGGAGG